ACTTATTAATACTAATATTAATAAGTAAATTTAGCTTTATTTTAGCTTATTAATTATATTAGCTAATAATAGCTTATAAATTAATGAATATTATATATTACATTAATTTTTAAAATATAATGTAATATAGTAAAATTATACTATATTATACTATATTAAAATTCACTAAAAACTATAAAACTACACTACTTTTAATACTCTAGCTACCACGCCTCTTAGTACATTTTTAGTTTACACTAAAAAGCTATAATAAGTAAAGATACATAATACTAATCTTTAAGCTAAAATAATAATTAACGGTTAATTAAAAGACTTTAAATAAGCTAATAAGGCTAAAGACCGCTTATCTTAAGTATTTAAAGAGACTATATATAAACGAAAATTAATATTATTACTAGGAATTAACGCTACGTAAGATAAGTAACCTAGTTATTATAGTAATTAAGTAATAATAGAAATAATAAGTAAGAAGAATTAATTAAAGAATAAAGCTCTCTTAAAATCAAGGAAATTATTTCTTAAACGTAGCTATAATTATAGCTAATGTTATAGCTTTAATAAATAACCCTTTAAGAGCTTAAATAGCGCTTAAAGAGAGCTTAAAAAATTAATAGCTTATAAATATATATATATTTATTAAAAATACTAGAAATTACGTTTTTAAGCGATTTAAAGCTCGCTTAGTATAGTATTATTAAGAAATTCGTGTATTTAATTAATTACTTTAGCATTTAATAAGAGCTATCGCGATTATGCATTTATACTAAAAATGTACTAAGGGGCGTGGCAGCGGGCCGGCTAGCTAAATTTGGTTAGTAGTGGAGCAAAACGCACCCCGAGCAAAATGTGAACGCACCCCGAGCAATTCACCTGAAAAGGTACCCGTTAGGTATTGCAGAAAAATGGGTCCAGTACATCCAACGTGCCTCCGCACATTCAAAGGGATGCGGTACGCAAGTGACTCATGCGGAGCGCGTGAGGACAAAGAGACGTCGGCCAATGAGGCACGAAGGAAATTAATTGTTGCCTCAACATAAAAGCAGCAGCAGGCATCACATCATTTACCCGATCGACCCCAGACTTTCGATTTCGCAAGTCTTCTCCGCACCTCGCTTGACCAATTCTCACAGCATGGCCGCTCCGAAATTGTTTGCGCTCGAAATCGCCGAGTACGGTGATGAAGAACTGGATCGATACCTAGAAGAAAACGGAAGGTTAGCCGATTCCGATGCTGTACGCCGGTGCTGAAGTGCTGACATCAAAAACAGAATTGTACGCGTCCACGATCCTCAGAATCTGCCTCCGTCTTTCATTCAGAGATTAAGGTGATAGATAGTCTTCGGCCCCTTCTTTTCCTATTTCTGACAGGTGACCAGGGACCGAGTGCATAGCGCGGACGACAGATCACGTTCTGTCGATCTCGATGAAGTTTCGGCGCGACTTCTACAAGCATCTGCCCAGAGGCAGTCATCCCCCAAGAAGCATACGCCCATCGAACAGCGAGCCCGTCGCTATGGTGTCTCGATAGAGGCGTTTGAGTTACTTTTTGCCCATCAAAGTAGCTCCCAAGACCCGTCAACTCCAACCTCATCCGAAGAACCGGAAGATCCATACCTCCAGGATCTGCGTTACGAAAGGGAGGATTATGACGAACTTGTTAAGGATGGCGGGCGACCTTGGTATCCGATCCATCGTCTTGAGGAGATCTCTAGGAACCCAAAAGGGCATCGCGAGCTCCTGCGCTACTGGCAAGGGGCGATAGGTGGAAACCCTGATGAATGGATAGTGTTTGGGGCACAAGTGCTACGATGGCGGAATTTCCGCGAGTGGCAGGTGAACGTAAGGAAGCATAGTAAAGGGCCCATTGCCGAACACACCGAGTGGGCGAGGAGATTCCTCCTCAAACGACATTCATACACAGCACCACCTGAGTTCGCGTTCGAGGAGGACCCAAAGCGACAGGACCAGCTGACAACGTGGATCGAGTATCTGGCCTACGAATCCAACTTCAGCGCAAAGAGGTTCGAATGGCACCGGCGTCGCGCGAGGTGGTACGACGATCAGTGGAAAAAGCTCGTGGACTCCGGGGTATTGAGACCGCATGAGACGGAGGAGTTCATATGCAGCCCGGACCCCGCCTTTCAGCGTACATCCGAAAGGATCCAGGCCGAGAAAGCCGTGGAATCGGCACGACAAGCCATACCATTGGCGGAGCAAGCTGTCAGCAAATCATCATGCCCTTCTCCCCTCGTACGACAAAGATTAGAGGCCGCCCAATCCAAGCTAGACTCGGCCGTGCAATCGTTGGAATCGATCAGAAGACGGAATCAATCCATCTCCGAATTTCTCGGGAACACTCGAAGCTACAGACATGCCAAGCATAATGCAGAGCGCCATGCCATATTGCTGCAGTGGGTCAAGGAGCAAGTCTCCTTAATCGAGGTTGAGCTAGAGCAGGACAAGGTAGCCGAAAGCAACTCAGAAACCAGAAGCGGCGAGAGCCAAGGCACCAAGCGTGTCAGAGCCGACGAAGACACAGAGGGACGTGGCAACAAAAGGCAGAAGCATCATGATGAGGAACGCAAGGTTCCTCGCACCCGAGGCCAGACCCTAAAGCGTACTGAGGACGATGTCTCGGTGGGTCACGGAGCGCCTTCAAAGCGCCCCAAACCTGACTCCCCTGCCGTTGTCCGGCAACTTCGTCGCAGCCTTCGACAAACCGTCCACCGCTCCGAAAGCAAAGTCAACGCTCCGGGAAGCTCCACAAACATCGTCGAGCCATCTGCGGTCACTGGGCCGCTTCGTCGCAGCGCTCGCATTGCCAATCGTCAGAGCCGTTCCGGCATCACGACTGCGCCACCGCGCAGTGCTAGGGGCTCACACCAAGGACCGTGCCGGACAGCAGGGCCACCAATCAAGGCCTCCCGTGCTGTCAAAGGGAAGGGTAGAAATAAGTGACACTTGGCGCGCACCCGACAGCTCCTGCTAAACAACTCGTACGGTCCACCGCGTAGCAGAAGCACAAAGAATGCCGAGGTCTTCTCGTGCAAGTCATTTTTTCCGACGCAGGTCGTGGCAGGAAGGCGCAGGGCCCAGCGCGACGTTTTAAGCTCGGCACATCCTCGGAGCGGAGATAGCCGTCTGGCGCTGTCAGATCTCTTGGCGCCGAAGGGATTCGATTGTTGGCGAAAACACTCCAATTTCAATCGTGCAGAGGTTTCTTCTTCGTTCCGTCTTTGCTACCGGATGCGTGCCTCCAGCCGACTCGGGCAAGGGATGACCGAGCCCTGTGAGCGAATGGTTGAGAGGCCACTCAGAGACCAACCACTTCGTGCGCTTAATTGGAATATGGGATATGGACCATCGAAGCTGCTAAGTATTAGAAGATGTCTTCAAGCCGGCAAGGCGACGAGCCAAAGTGAGTGCTGGCACGCCCCATACGTATCTGCAAACATGTCTGCCCAGGAACGCCAGCAACGTGCAGAGAATGAGATGATGAAAGTAGCTGTTCATAGCTAGAACGAGCTTAATAGCGGCAAGGATGCTAGCAGAGCCAGGGACGAAGTCCAGAACAGAGATATGGCTTGGGCTCAGCGGAGTCAGCGAGGTGGTGTTATTGAGCGTGGCTATCGTGCAGGCGGAAACGAGTAGAGCGCGGGTGTTATCGCAGAGCAGTTTAGAGCATCTCACGCTTATAGATGGAAGAGAGGAGCCGGAGATAACTGTTGTAACGGTGATGGTGGAGTTCTTAACGGGAAAGGGGGGGTTCTTTATACCTGCTTACTGGTGAGCTTAGATGCGAGCTGGTTAACTAGACTCTATTCGTTGGGTGCTTGACCTTTAATCTTAATGTCACCCTGCCGTTGATAGTTCCTCGTACATCTCCCACTGGACATGGCCCTCGCCGAAAATGTAGGACAAGCAGGCACTTTGACGTTGCTAATACGCCTGGACGAAGTGATTGACCAGTAAGACGACATTGACACTGTGTGGACCCCCTTTTTTTTTTTTTTTTTTTTTTTTTTTTTTTTTTTTTTTTTTTTTTTTTTTTTTTTTTTTTTTTTTTTTTTTTTTTTTTTTTTTTTTTTTTTTTTTGGAAAGTGTGTAGGGAAAGAGGAAACAAATGTTGAATAGAATAATAGTGAGTCCCGAAGGAAATATAATATTCATTTTGACAGTACGAACGTTGGGAGTGAGAAGGCGAGAATAAGTGAGTCAGGATGTCGATGTTGTGACACTTCAGCTGCTAGCTAATCAGCTTCGATGGCTGGGAAATATTCTGGAAAGGGTCAACTGGTCCATCTTCGTATAACATGTTCACCTTTACAATACCAATCAACAGCGAATTCTCATTTTTTTCATCCACGTGGGATACAAGATAAAAAGTAAGAATTGGAACATGGATGTCGCTTGCGATACTTTGAGAGGCATCTCGTCGGTTATGCACCAACGAGAAGTGGTAATTGACAGTTTACCTGTCTCACAAGCCTGGCTACTTCGAACCTACGCAGGCATCTTAACGACTGGTGGATCATGGAGGATGCAATGTTTAGGCAAATGCCGGTGAGAAAGAGAGCATGCCAGATATTAAAATATACATGGGCGAACGACACTGCACCAACTCCTCATCACGGCTGGCTTCAAATCACAGTGCACAGCCACAGTTTTCGCCGCAAAGCCGCACGATGAGACAGCTCTACCGCAATTGATGGCATAATAACTAATTGCAATATCGTCGGTGGCATCAGTCTGCCAATAAACGGCTGTCGCTCATTGCACATGGAGTCACTTGTCCTCCTTTTGCCATTTTCCCACCAGGTGCGCTTGGTCCCCGCATAGTGTAGCATCCGCTTCCTGGTCAGCTCATAGCTCCAATCTGGCGAGATGACAGTGCGATTGCTCCGTAGATTACTCCACAGAGCACGGAGGAAGTCATTTCGAGATTGGAAGAAGAAAACGGAGTATTACGGAGTCGCCAACCAGCCCAGTGATCACGGACGGCGCCAGGCCAGGCCGGGGCCCTCTTGGCACGGATGAATGATTGCTTACCACGATTCGAGTGATGCTGCGGTACATGCCCACATGACTCCGATTTGTCCATGTCCCTTCTCCGCGTTGAACCATGCTCGTGAGGCTCTTGCGCCGAGGCATCGACATCGACACACATTGACTGATGAGTTGACATTATTAAAAAAACGTGCCTCCATCGCAAATGAGACACGTGCGGATGAAATGAAGTCCCCATGTAACGCGTCCCCCCCGGCTGGTCGAGATTCCGATGAGCTCGATTTGCCTGATGACTATTCTCGCCATATGGCTCAAATGTGACGTTGTTCGGGATGCCAACTGCACCTGGATTTCCATTAGGTCATTGCAACTCCCATCGTGTCCTTGTATCCAAGTAAACAGACTCCATCATGCCATCTTGTCTCTGCGGAAAAAAAAAAAAAGGCCCTGACGAGAGGAAAACAACAGCGACAAGGTGCTGACACAAATACCCTGCCAGCCGCGTTTCGAATGCATTAATCGACGCCATAAGCGGTGTCTCAAGGAACAGCAAGCAATGCCCAAGAACGGCCATAGAGGAGATGATCAGACGCTGAGAAGGGACCGTGGTCCGCCGACGACTTTGTCAACGGGCGCCAAATGATGAATCCGAATCGATGCCGAGTCTGTGTAATTGAAGCTGGATCCCGACAGACGAGGAGTTGAGCCGGAGGATTATTGCAATGGAATAATTGGCCCTGACTCTCGTCGAGTAAAGCGACATGGCGGTTCCTGAACCACAGGAGGCGAAATTACACGAAAAAACTGACAACGCCCGGGCGGAGACTGGTGACGGGGGTTCGAGGTTGCACGAAGAGACTGGACGAAGAGCGGATGATGACCCTGGCGCCGTGCCCTGAATGCTGAGCCCGACGAGGGGACTGGAGGATGCGAAGCGCAAGCAAGTCAACCAGCATTTGAAGCTGTCATCGACGCCACGAGGGACATGGCTGGTCTGGTGGGGTTTGCACAGGGGGTCAGCGCGTCTGGTGCACTCCACAGCCCTGTGTTCAGTGGCTGGGCTGCCTGGAGTGCCCCGAGTGCTTGCTGAAGAGCCAGTCTCAGTGCTTTCTCAGCACCTGTGCAATGTCTGCACATGTGGTTGAGTCAATCAGCAGCAGCCTCAAGTGTCAATTGAGCCGTCAATCATGTCAAGTCCCTTTATGCCATCTGGGTCAATTGATGGCGACCATCCGGCCAATTGCAAACCGATTCGTCGATTGAGCCCTGCTTCATGTAAAGAGCAATATCCCAAGACACCATCCGTCCTAGTAATAGATTATTCAAAAGCCTGTGGCGCTTCATGAACCCTGCCGACCCGCACAAGCTCGAACCATCACGACTCGACTTTCAGGGACCAATAGGCCTCATCGCATTCTGCCTTTGGCCTCTTGTTGGAGCATCTCTCATCTCTTCTTGCCTCAATGTTTATCGCGAGTGCTCTCATCAAGCCTCAAATCGCCCGCCTCCTCAGAGCATTGAGCCCGCCCCGGGGACACAGTCGTGATCAGGGATCCATCTATCCGCAGCTTCCTCCTCATATGAACATCATCTGCCCAAGTCCACCTGATAGCTCATATCCGCCTTCGTTCGGTTGTCATAACGTTAAAAGGACCAGACAGCAAGGTTCGAGGACTGCCAGGTTGAGCACGGGAAGACGCGCTGCTGCCGCCTTGCTGCAGTTGCAAGCTTCCCCGGTCCAAGGTTTTTTTTTGGAGTCGGTGCGAACTCGACGTGCTCGTTCGATTCGCGTCTCCCATTCCAGCCGCGCCCCCTCTCTCCAACATCTGAACCTCCATTCTTCTCCCCCACAGATTTCCCCCATCATCTTGGCCATCGAGCCGTTGCACGAATTGCTTCAGGCTGCCGTCACCGCCGATTACCGTTGGCTGATCAGTGCCGCTCGTGTACCCTAACTCGCCCAAGCCGAGCCATCCTCTCACACATCCTCTACCCGCCGGCTCAGAGTCCACAAGAGTTCCAGGAAACAGCGACGCCACACTAGTCTTCAGCCTCTGCTGCGACCGACACGACCGAACTTCGTCTTCGGGTGACCACCAACACACAGCACTTCTCTGGCATATTTGTACAAACGCCAACCACAATTGAACCTGACCGAGCTGTGCTGCCACCTGGTCACTTCTCCAAGGCCCCCTTGTTTTTTGAGCTACGAAAAGGGGTAGTCGGCTGCCCCAGCTACTCGACTTTCCATGGCCGCTGTTTCATCAACTCCCACAGGAGCTACGGCCTTGACAGCGCTGAGCGGCAGCCATGGAGAGGTCGTGTGGGATTACCCCGGTGCGCAGTCAGAGGTAAGAATTCATCTGCCATCAGCAGACTCTTGGATACGAGATTATACACAACCTGCGATGCTTCCCTTTCCGGCGCGTATCTCCGCCATTGGCTCGAGAGGGTTGGCTAATGATATCCATTCACAGAAGACGGCGCAAGACGGTAACAACGAATCTCGCCCCGATGAACCCTCTCGCGGTTCTGTCAGCTCACAGAACGGCAACTCTTTGCCTTCTTCCTACACTCAAGCTGGCAACCATTTTGAAATGGCTGCTCGCAAAACGCATTCCTCCGACAATCTCCACGTTTCTAAATGGGATAAATCAGGAGACGGAAACGCTGGACTCTCCCCGGCGTTGGCGGTTGAGCCTAGGCAAGGCCCACTGAGCCCTGGCGAAGATGCGATTTTCAGAAAGCACAGTGGGTCAGAAGAGCGCAGGCGGCATATTCAACAGACTCTGGGCTTCGAGTACAGCGAGGAAGATTCCAAATGGATTCACCGAGACAAGTTGGCCAAAATCGAAAGTGAAGAGCTGCAAGCCGCGGGCTTCATAATTGCCAGGGTCCGAGCCTCCAGCAAGCAAAGACGGCCCCGCGGTCAGAATTCGATTGATATCGATAATCAGCATCAAAACCGGCAGCTCCGCGATTCTGCCATCATGGGTCAAGTTGGCGAGGAGGAATCCTCTACTCCCTGCTGGGATTTGCGAACGCCAGAAGAGATTGCTGAAGAGGAGGCCAATGCCTATTTTTCCTCGCAGGGTCTGAGGGGAGGCACCAAAATTCCGGTGGCCAAGGTTAGCCCTGTCCCTATCCCGCAAGATTACCTAGAGCGTGGCTCTCCTTCGGTACGACGAATCGAGTCAATGGACGGCGATACCATTACCTACACCAAAACGCGATCGCGAAGCGCGAGTGCTTCTACCAGGGATTTTGAAGCAGTCCACAACGGCAGTCGGTCCGCCACCGCAAAGCGATCCGTCACGGAGAGCTCCCCAAAGAAGACCACGGTACGAAAAGCTTCGACTGCATCCAAGACCAGCACAACTCCCAGCAGGCCGAAAACCAGGTCGGGTCCTAATAGGGATGCTGGTGGAACCCGCCCATCCACACGGTCTGGGGAACCGTCTGCGGCCAGCAAGCAGCCCGAAGGTGACCCACCGTGGGTGTTCGACTCGTACAAGCCCGACCCGCGATTGCCTCCAGACCAGCAGCTGCTGCCCACGGTGGCTAAGCGCCTACAGCAAGAAAAGTGGGAGAAGGAAGGGAAATTTGGTGACGCCTATGACAAGGAATTTCGCCCCCTCAACGACCATGAGTTCCCGAGACCGCAAGAGAAGGAACCTGTCCCTCCTGAAGTGGAAGATCTGTCGCAGGCAGGAGACTGGCCGCTGAAACCAGGCATTGCCAAGAGTCCAAAGCAGGGCTCGTACTCAACGATGCCCAAGATATCGGACAAACCTCCAGTTACCACAGCAACGAATTCCAAACCCCCTGGACCGCAGCCTATTCCTCAGCCACAACAAGATGTTGGCGAGCCGACGATACAAGCAGAGAAAGAAGCAAAGAAGAAGGCTGGTTGCGGATGCTGTGTCATCATGTAATCAAGCACGGCCTTGCGCAGCTTGTGTCTATCTACTGCACGGCACTGTCACTTCAGCTAAACTATTACGACGTTACGACTTGTGATTCATAGAAGCCCATTTTTAGCCCTTTGTGTCATTTTCAGCTTACCATATTCTCTTTTCTACACCTCACCTCACTGTCCAGCTTAGCGACTTTTATGTTTTCATTTGTTCTTTTTCTTTTTTTTACGCGGCGTCATATGAAGGCAAAAATTGGCGACGATATTCAGCGAGGAGCTTTTGTTTGCTTCTCTCCCTTGTACTCGATGAATTATCGAATACGATATATGCTTGGGCGCCAGGAAATCGACACGACATTTGGACATTTTTGTCCGACTTTGGCACCCTGTCTACGTTTCATTGTCTACGCCTTTAATTCTGCCATTTCAACTTCTCTCAATGACTCGATACTACAATCTTGGCTTGATATGAGTGACAACATTTCAGCCCACATTGTGGCATAAACGTTGTGTAGGGCGATTGGAGGAGTTTTTGCCTTTTTTCTTTTTTTCTTTTTGGAGCATTTGTTGCGCGCGAACAATCTGCAATGGGCAAAACGCATGGAGTGCCTCGAACATATTAGGTGGAGGAGCTTTTCGGATTCTTGAGTGTATAGATACCCCCTCCAAGAGGATGGACTTTTTCAACCAATGGTGGAGCAAGTAGACATTCATAAAGACTATTTTGAAAATTCACCAAGCATGCGAAGCGGATGCTGCACTGTGACGGGGCGTGAGAGTGCGGGACGTGTAGAATCAACGACTGGATTGCTGGCATTGGGCGCTTGACTTACATCATCGATGACGGGGCGGCGCGCGGAGCCGTGCCGAGTTGCCGTAGCTGCAGCTCAATGTCGTCGATGTAGTCGATGCAATCACCGGCATCATCGACCCGGCGGTTGGCGAGCTGGACTCATATAAAGTTTGGGTGCGACAACACGAAAGACCTGCCGCACATTTTTAATGCATCAGCCTGATCTAGCAACACACTAATTAAGGATACTCGACTGCGAATCTCAAGGAGTTCAAAATGGTTCATCAGCACGGCGACCACCATGATATTCCGTCCGAATACCGCATCCACAAGTCCGTTCGCTACACCAAACCACCTCCCCCACCCCCCCTTTTTCTCGCAATCAATCATCTCAACAGGGGACATTCTATCACGTAGCTGACTTGTCTGCACAGGCCGGGGGCATGGCTCCCCGCCGACCACCGCGTCCATCGCCAATACCTCTCCAACGTCACCCGCCACGTTGACTCGCACCCCAAGCAGCCGCTCACGCCCGCCCTCGAGGAGTTCAGGCAGCTCATCGAAGGCAACTCGCGCATATACATGTACTTTGTGCAAATGTTTGACGAGATCCCCCGCAAGCACCCCTACTTGCGGGACCCCACAGGCGGCAAGCAGATCCGCGACTACGAGCATATGCTGCAGGTGCTGAACCATGTCGTGACGCGAGCGCCGGAGTGGACAGAGGCCGCGGAGAGCGTGGGCGTGGTAGGAGTGCCAATGTGCTCGCTGCTAGACTACCAAATGGGAACGCCTAGGTATGTTTGATTACCCGCGAGACTTGGTCTGGATGGTCTCTCTGTCGTGATATATACATGGCTGCTGACGGGGGGGTGTCGGGAGCCAGTGGGCACGCGGCGTTTCTAGATCCAGACGTGAATAAGGCGTTGAAGAAGGTGCTGAACGAGTGGGGGAAGTACCTGCAGGTATGTCGGGACAATGATTGCCAATGTTCGTCGGGGCGTGTGAGCTGATGGCTGCAGACGCCCGAGTCGGCAGAGGTCTTGGGGGACCATGACCTGGGCTGGTTCGGACAGACTGGCATAAGCGACCTTGTCCAGGTCGCCAACATGCCGTACCAGTCGAGCATGAAGTTTGAGGACATGTTTGTCTGCGATCCCACGGCAAAACACATGGGTTTCAAGTCCTGGGACGGTACGCCCCCGAGGAATCACGCCTGGTTCTCCAACGCGAAGCATCCCGGCATGTACGAAATGCCTGCTGACTCCCGGTAGACTTCTTCACGCGGCGAGTCCACGACGCGGCACGCCCCGTCGCCGATGCCGACGACGACTCCGTCGTTGCCAACGCCTGCGAGTCCAAGGTGTTCAACGTGGCGCACAACGTCAGGCTCCGCGACAAGTTCTTCGCCAAGGGCCAGCCGTACTCGCTCGTCGACATGTTTGCCCACGACGCGCTCGCTCACGAGTTTGTCGGCGGCACCGTCTACCAGGCGTTCCTGTCGGCGCTCTCGTACCACCGCTGGCACTCGCCCGTCTCGGGCACGGTGCGGCGCGCCTTTGTCCAGGACGGCACGTACTTTAGCGAGCCGCTCTCGGAGGACGACGGCGACCCGGCTATCAAGATTGACACGCGCGGCATCTCCGTGGCGCAGGGCTACCTGTCCGCGCTGGCGGCGCGGGCCATTATCGTGCTGGAGGCGGACAATCCCAAGATTGGCCTGCTGGGCTTCATCGGCATCGGCATGGACGAGGTGAGCACGTGCGACATCACGGTCAAGGAGGGCCAGCGCTTGAAAAAGGGCGACCAGCTGGGCATGTTTCACTTTGGGGGGTCGAGCCACTGTTTGGTATTTCAAAAGGGCGTCAGGGTCGACGGGTTCCCGCCCGTGGGGAGGCAGGAGAATGTCCCCGTGAGGGGGAAGCTAGCTGTCGTTCATTAGGACTGTGTATTATTAATAGTACGCGAGAGGCGCACTCTGACGAGGGCCGTGTATGTACATGAGGTGTGGTCGTCTTGTAGGCTCGCCACTGTGTTGGCCAAACTCATTTCTTGGCGTCGGCCTTCATGCCGCTCTGCACCCAGTTCCTCGCCCCCTCGGCCTTTGCGTCGAGCTCCTCCTCGGTCAGGCCGTCGTTGTCAAAGGCGGTATGCGGACTCGGCACGTGGCGGCCCCTTTCGAAGCCGGGCCGCTGCAGCAGCGTCTTGAGCCACTTGTCGAGGTGGGGGAACTCGTCGAGCGAGACGCCCGCCCAGGCTGGGTTGGTCAAGGCGGTTAGCACCCGGGCGCGTCATGACGGGGCCGGTGAGAGGGAGACGTACTGTGTGAAGCGACCCATCCCCAGCATGAAATGTCGGCAATGGTGACGCGGTCGCCGACCAGGAACCCGTGCGGCGACTTGGCGAGGTGGTCCTCCATGGTGCGGTAGAGGCGGCGCGTCTCGTTGCCGTAGCGGTTGATGCCGTACTCGATCTTCTCGGGGGCGTATCCTGCGGCTGCATCAGCATGTCCGACGCCCCGGCGGGTTGGGGATGAAAACGCACGCTTAAAGTGGTTGGACTGGCCCTGCATGGGTCCCAGGCCGCCCATCTGCCACATGAGCTGTCAAGAAGCGCGTTAGCAGTCGTCTTCCCCTTGGAGAGTCTGGTGTGTAGGGGTTGCTGACCCAGCTCGTGACCTCCCAGTGCTCGGCCGTGCCGCGGGGGTACGAAATCTTGTGGTCCTTGTCGTACCGGTCCGCGAGATACTCCAGGATGGCGCCGCTCTCAAACACGCGGATCTTCTTGCCGTCCAGCGTGTCTGTCAGGGCGGGGATGCGCCCGTTGGGGTTGATGTCGAGGAACCACGGCTGCTTCTGCTCGTTTTCCATCATCTTGATCGCGTACACCTGCCGCTGTGAGTCGCTGTCCCCGTCTGCGCCTTCTCACGGGCGACGGCTTACTTGGTACTGGAGCCCGAGCTCCTCGAGCGCAATCGACGCCTTGATGCCGTTGGGCGTCGAGGCCGTGTAGAGGACAATGTCGGTCTTGGTGGCCATGTTTGCGAGTTGGGAAGCTAGTTGGTGGAGGCGGGCTGTCATGAGGAAGCGGGCGGGGATGTATTATGCGTTATATATTTGTGACTCCACAGAGACTGGTGACTACCTAGGCAACTTCAATTAGTTGGCATGGCACTTTGAGCTGGCGCTTGGTAATAATCTTTGGGCGGACGCAGATGCTCTGCTTAGAAATCGTGCTGGGTTGAGCATCACGTCACGACTCGTCCCCGCCAATGGGAGCTTCACGGACAAGGGGCCCCCCAATAGCATCCACGGAGCTGGGCCTCGGGAGGGCGGAGCACACCGGACGGGCTTGGCGATGTGGGGACGGATTGCGGGCGTGGGAGCTTTGCGGAGTTGGATCGGGGTCTGATTGAGCCGAGTTGGCTGGACGCCCTCTTGGGTGGGCCAGGGGTTGCGCATAACGGGTGGCTGTTTGTGAGATGTCTTGTGTAGTTGGGGATGGTGTAGGGGGAAAGGGGGGGCAACATGGCGCATATTGAACTTTCAGACTCTGAGAGTCAACATGGGGATGTAGCAGTTGTGAGTTATGGCCATGACCTCAGCCGCGCGTGCGCGAGTTGCGCGATCCATCTCTGCAGTTCCCAGGGCGAAACGTGTGCATTTCAAGATGCGTCGGTCAACATGGTTGGTCGGATGTCGAACCCCAAGTCACTTCACAAGGTATGGTTTCCGCCTGCCCGACATCTACATTATAGGCGTGAGGACTGTGACTTGCAACAGGCCGGGGCAGTAGTGCTCGTGCACGCGGAACTGCAATATAAATACAACAAGTTGATCAGCAATAAGTCTCAATCCCAAATATTACACGGGTATCACATCTTGAAGCCAACTCGACTAGTTGCTCGTAAAGAAGTTGGTCGCGACAATCGGACCCAATCCCAACTCCTTCTCCCACGCATCAAGACTGTACGGCATTCTCGGCCAGAGGCCCATCTTGGCCCCATCCCCCGGTGCGTAGTTGCTCCCATCGCAAGATGCCGGCTGCTCATACAGGAAGCAGTACCGGTGCGGTGGGCTGCCCGGTGGAGGGCCAGGAGGAGCATAGTCGCTAATAGACGGCTCAGATGCCTTTAAAACCCCCTCTCCGTCTTCATCAGACGCCTGCAGCCCAGGCTGAATCCAGTGAAGAATAGGGCTGAGAAAGGGGAACGATGGATGAGGAGCATCCAGGTCTAGACAGACGGCCATGTATGCCGTTGAAGTCTTGGCCCCGTAAAAGCGAACAACTGGCTCGTCCCGCGCTTCTACAGCGGGAGGTTGGACTTGTCGTTCTGGATGGCGGCGAGTGCCCCCATGGCATTGCCGCTGGAGGGCATTGCTGAAACTGTACCGCACGCAAAAGGGCTTTTCTGTCTACGTCTTCGGTTGTGTTGTGCGGTCTTCAAAGCGGAAAGAGCATTCGCTGTCTTGTAAGTGGCTCGGCCGGGATTAGCATGCACGTGGCTACCAAAGTAGTCAAGCCCGCGCCGCTCAAGCGCCGACGGCCCGCAGAACAACACGGCACGGGGGAGAGAGTTCGGGCCGGGAACGGCAAGTTAGCCCAAGGCGGAATAAATCGAAAAGTGCTTGGAAATGAGGAAATGACCAGACACACCGCGCCATGATATGACTCGTAAAAATAAAGTCGAGAGGCAAGCCACTAGTTCCCCCGGGTTTAGGCACCCTCTACAGCAGCGCAATTATGCTACCGGATGCCGCTGCAAGCTCGTGGTTTCGAGATGCAACCTGTAGGCGTAGGTGTCACGAATACCGCGGCGTCACTTGCATATAGTTCTACAGGTATTTGTGATGCTGCATGATAAAGAACCTCTTTTACTGTTGTTTCGACGCAACTCGTAGTATTACGCACCCACGTGTTGACGGTGAATATGTATAACGCTGGAACCGGTATACTTGTGGCTGAACTCGATATTCTCAATCGAAACTTGGACATTGATCCAGTCCATCTGGTGTCTACCGCCAAGAATTGAGCAGAAATATTGTGTATCGGAGGAGAATTGATGCATTCCTAGACGGTGTAGTGTGCAAATGATACCGTTTGTTTGCGTCCCTCTGTGGATCCAGACCGATGCCGTTGTTCAGATCAATTCTGCCATTAATCAGAGCGCAAATCCCAGTCACTGGTCCCAGGCTCGTATTTACTACAAGCTTGACGGTGCAAGGAAGATGTATTAGTGGAGCGAAGCCACTTGTAGACCTCGTATGATTGGAACCCCAAGGCGACACCTTATCATCACTTGAAGATTGAGGCTCTATGATGGAATTTCTTACCTGAAAGAGTTGCATGAATTTCGTTTGATTTGTCTTCACGCTTTTAATAGGACGAGTCTTCATTATAAGGAACTTTCGTGCCTTGCTCTCTTGGAAGGGCCGAGCTCAAGATGTCAATGTTACGGACCGTCCGTCTTTTGAATGAACGCAAGGATGCTCTCACCGACGGCCAAGGCTTCCATTTCTGGATCTAGAGAATGTTGTGATTAGAAGATTTCGTTGGGTCATAACAAAAAAGGCTGATCTATCGGGGACCGTGCTATTTTCTAACGAGTCGCATCTTGGTCTTGGGCATCACCTGCAAACAATCGCCCAATCATCGTTTGGCCACACGTAAAATACGAAGTGTCGTTGGCCAATCGGTGGCTCTTGGCACATGGATAAGAAAACTGACCTCATTGAGGCGGTAACCGTATGCAGGCCACGGCCACCGTCGAGTCAGATTCGAGATTGCTATTCGTCGATGCAACGGAAGGAGCTGCTCGGGTTCTTGCCACTTTAAGGTTTACCCCTATGCCAAACCCCTAGCGGCATGTTCCATGGAGAGACATCAGTCGGCCGTCATGACATGTGCCAAGTGCATGAATACGCATCCCGCGTCCAATCTGCTTCCATACGCCCATCTTTTACAACAGCGACGCGAGTCTTGGACGTGGACGTAGGTGGACGGGCGTATCTACATTGTCTCCTAATAATTAACATGTGCTTCCTCGCCCCAGTTTGTTGAGACCGAGCTACAGCTGAAGACGACAACGCATACCCGGGAAGGTGCATCTCATGCCATTAACAGGATCAAGTGAGGTACAACGCGATTTTCAAGTTTTATTCCCGTTCCATTAACCTAACGTATAACCCACACGACTCGTAACACGGCAAGCCGCTTATTTCAGTTATAATAGGCTATAGATCCGCCGTGACTCGTTGCAAAGAAGCACATGTATATTATCTTGGCGAGTTTGAGTATTAAATCAGCCGTAGTTACATCCGGGCGGGATAACTCTGGAGGAAATAGGCCATGTCTGGATACAATCGGACAAGGATTGCCACGTTCTGGGACTTTATAGTGCCTGTTTCTTTTTATTTAGAGACGTTATTCATCTTGGTTCTAAAAGCGGGCGAGCATGCATTAACCTTCCTCATAAGACCCTGTATTCAGATAACGTGAGCTGACAGATTTCAAATAAGCGTGGCGCAGCTCGGGAGATGCTCCACTAGATTGCTTGGAGCATTTCCATTGTGATACCGTCTATTCTAGGAGTGGTGTTTCCAACTCTAAGTAGTGTATCTTGGACTTCGCTAGCGGGGATATGTGCCGAGAATGGGATTTGCTGGGTTGGAGGAACTGTAGTGAACTATGGGCCTGGGATATTACCCGATACATCCCGTCTTTCGAGCTTCTTCTTGCGTAGGATATTAGCGCGTTCTAGGTGGGTTGTGTAAACTTCGCTTCCAAGTTGGATTGGGGGGAGGAGGGGGGTTGTAGCTATTGCCTTGGCTTAATTCAGCGAGTAACCTGAAAGGTCTTAGCTGGGTCAGTGGTTTTTGTAATAACAGTGCGCTTAAAGTAGATTCTAGCGCGTTAAACTTCCTCCCTATGTTAGCTTATTGCAGTGGATCGAGCAACACGAAGATTTTCATGGGTTTCTTTACGCTCTTTACTCCACCACGGGTTCTGTCGAGCTTTTCTCCCTTTACTCACCCGGCCGCATGCCTTTGTGGCAGGCTGGAGTACTTGCAGGAGCTGTCCAGCAGCATCGGTAATGTCTTGTCTGGGTTGGATACACCTTGGTAGCGAAGCGGCCGCGCTAGCTTCGTGTTTGGCAAAGGCCTTAATTTCCTCCGGTAGAGTGAGGTGGGCTTTTCCTAGAGTTCTAGGGCTGCTCTCGTTGTCTGGGATCTCTGTACCGACAGTGTAATGTAGCGATCCAGTGGTGAGATGTTCTTCTATGGTTGTAGTAGCTGTTGAGATATTAGAGAACACGAGGTCAATTGTACTAGGTCTTTGGTTCGGCCTTGACATTGTAGTTGAACTTTCTGGATCGTTTAGGGGGGCTAGGTCATGCTCTTGAGTCCAGTTGAAGATTCTTGTGCCGTCCTGAGATGCCGTCCGATCTGCTTGCCACGACGGGTGGAAGGCGTTCTTGTCCCCTGCAACCACGCACCGGCTTTTTTTTTTTTTTGGGGGGGGGGGGGTTTCCATGACTCAACAATATCTAGTGACGTTTCTTCCTCTGGCCTGTTTCTTCTTGGGCGGTGGCTTCGCTAGGTTGTTCGATGTCGTCAGCGCGGGGTTGAGGTCGATGCTGCTTCTTAATGGCAGGATACGGGTTCCTGGTCGTATTAGTGCTAGTCGCAGGCCCCTGCTTGTTGACCATTCGCAGTCCACCTATTCTGATGGTATGGGTATGGTGTTAAGTATTGGCATGTTGGCGCCGTGTTGTGTTGGTGTTTGGTGGGCGAGACTGTACCGCTGGAGGTAAACCGTAAGACTTCTTCAATCTCTTCTTCCTCTGCATCCTCTTCCTCCTCTGCTTCCTCCTCTTCTTCTGCTAAAGTCCTCTTAATTTAGTTGCCTAGCGTAGAGTAGCTGAGCCTAAAAAGACGTTCTGGAAGCTGCCGCGGAGTTTCTGTGGGCGGGCGAAGCAGTTCTGGTAGTTGGCTTCGTGTGCGCCGTAGCAGTTAGCGCCCTTTAGCGTAGTATCGCAACTGTCAGTGCTGTCTGGTGTAAGTCGTCCATAACGCCATAGCGCACGCATACGGAGTACTTTTATAGCCATACAGCGAGTTGGCGGGTAAAAGATCCCAGTAGTGAGTGCATTGAGAGAGTTTCTTTGGTTTGGTGAGTTTGAAGGAGTAGCTTCCTTGCCCGAGCAGGCGGAAGTTGCTGTTTAGTGCAGTGTAGCTTTGGTCGGGTCCCCGTCGTTAGGCTTTTGTGAGACGTGCCGTCGTTCTGGCTTTTGCCCTGTTTGGGCTACAGTTTCTTCTTCAACAGTTGCCTCGAAATTCAGAACGGTACCGTCCCATGAGTGGAGAGTCTTGGGGAAGTTCTTGGTCAGGTAGGTGTGCTATGAGATTTGTAGGCCTGATGTCTTGGATGTCCTGGGATGCAATAGCAAAGGAGGAGGAGCCATTGACTCTTCAAGCGGAGCAGAAAAGGGCAGAATGTCTGTGCTGCAGAGGGAGCATTCACGGACCCACTCGAGCTGAGCGCCACCAGACTGCTGTCAGACTGGAGGGTCCTCATTGATCTTCTTGCCCCCATGGAAACCGCCGCCTCTCGTCAGTGCGCCGATATGGCCACCCAACAGAGTCATCAATGCCGGTTGTTGACCCAGCCGAATTTACGGTTTCAATCTCCAGGCTTGGATAATGCCCTGCCGTCGATCGGAAGCCAGGAGAGAGCTTGAAGAAACGTCGATGCCGGATCATGAACACTGCACAGCAGTACCAGGGCTTGGCATAATCCAACACCATGAATGAGACGCCAAAGCCAAAGCAAGCAGCGTGCCTCGTTTGCCGTCGCAGTAAGATCAAGTGCGACGGTGTTGCCCCCAGTGGGCGCTGCAAGAGATGTGTTCAACTGGGAACAGAATGTATTCGCCCCGACTTCCACGCTGGTCGCCAGAAGGGCATCAAAAAGTATAGAGACGGTCCTTTCCTACATCCCTCTCTTGACCTTGGCTAACATGTTCATTTTCGTGTTTCGAACCGCAGCAAGAGAGTCGGTCTTGAAAAGGCATTATTCCAAGTCGAACAGGCAGTCAAACGGGCAAGAACTGGCCAGCAGCAAAGTGCCGAGGATGACAGAGTCTTGACGCAAATGAGAGCCCTCATGGGCCATCTTGATGGCAACGAGTGGTCGCCCAGCCAAGCGTCCAACCATCAAGCAAGTGGAGAAGCCGAGGATTCATCTAGTGAATATGAAGAAGACATGGCCGACCAGACTTCCATGTCAGAAGACATTGCCCAGCGGACAGAGGAGAGCCTGGCTGTGGACGATGCTGAAAATCCCCTGCAACTGCTGGCTCGCGCATCCTATTTCCAACCGTCCCGAGAGATTCGGAGTCGCAGCTCGCCGCAGCATTCGCGAAGGAAAGGCGCAGCTTCAGGCAAAAGTCCCGAGGCAGCGAGTCTCGAGGCCTTTTTTTCTGGAGCCAAGGTGAACCTGGATGTTGGCAACGACATTGATCCGATTGAGCTGGGTTTGGTGACAGAGGAAGAGGCCGATTCTCTATTTGCATAGTAAGTCGTCTCTGCCCCCCGCGGTTGTGTTGAGAGAATGCTAAACCACATAGCTTCCACGCAAACCTCTCCCACACTCGCTGGGGGTTTGATCCCAGACTATACACCATGACTTACACCCGGTCAAGATCCGCATTTCTCTGCACATCCATCCTTGCAGCGTCAGCATTGTTTATACCCACAGCCTCTGCATTATCAAAACGTCTATCGAATCACGTCACTACTTTGGCACACAGAGTCATATTGCGCAGACATAAATCCATCGAAATTGTTTTAGCATTCATGGTCAATATCCCTTGGATGTTTCCAGGACAGCATAGTACCGATGACGAGGCTTGTGTCTACATATCCATGGCGACTAGCGTTGCCATAGACCTTTCCCTACACAAAGTCATAGTTCCTACCGATGTCTTACAAGAGGGCTCAAAACTGGCTCTCGCAAGAGGTGAATGCTTGGATACCCGTACAGCATTGGCAATGGATGGATATCCAGATCTTGATCCATGGACCGACAAAGCAAAGCTTCTACTGCGAAACAGGGAGCGCTGTTGGATATCTCTATTTGTTCTCGAACGAGGGTGCGTATCGTATGGCACACCGTGGGGTTGTCTCCGCTAATGATGTGTGTAGAATGTCACTGGCTCGTGGCCGTCCGTTTGTGGTGCCTGTAACTAGACTGATCAAAGATTGTGATAGTTGGTATCGATCAGCAGTTGGAGACCCTCAAGACGGTCATTTGGTGTCAATGGCTGTGCTTCGGCGAAACTTGGTATGTTCTAGATCCACGAGAGTCATGTATCATGTATCCTTATACTGATTGCACCAGGACGGCCTCTTCGCCACGGTTCGCTCTCTCTGTGATGGGTCGCAGAACCCAGTCAGTGACGGATCTTTGATTGCTCAATCGTATGTAACTCTATTACTACCATCGTGCCTCTATTTATTAACAGCCCGCAGCATCCAAAGTTCAATAGAACGTTTCTTCGATCAGTGGTACACAGAATGGGGTGTATCAATTGGCACTGGACCCCGTGAGTAACGTGTTCTGCGGCAATACGATGATTATTGAGGCTAAATCCTTCTCAGAGCGTCGATTACCACCATACGTCGATATCCTTGTAACACATACTCGACTGTCTACTTATGGCGGCGTGATCAACCACCCCACAGCTCCCATCGAAGTGAGGCAGTTCTTCCGTACGGCCGGCCTCTCATCAGCTTTAAATGTCATGAGGGCGGCCATTCAGGGCGAAGGCCAGTTACACTCCATGCCCAACAACACGGCAATTATGATTTCTTTTGCTGCTTGTTTTGCATTAACCCTCAGCGCTTATACTTCTGGGGGTTCTACTTTAGCACCGAGCATTCGAAAACTCATTGATGAAGCTGCGGGTGTTCTGGAGAGAATAGGGACCATTACACAACACAGAAACGGACTCTCGGCATTATACGGAAGATATCTGAGACAGATTGTGCGCAAAGCGGCGAGACAAGACGTTGCCTATTCATCTGCACCATCACAAAATACGAGTAACCCGGGAGCACCTCAAATACAACCCATGGGCGCCCCAGTCGCCGCATCGAACAGCGACAGTTTCTTAAACCAGCAGTTAACATGGCCTGAGCCTCTTCAGTTCTCTGCAATGTCAGATGATCAAATCACACATGTGCTCAACCAACCGGGCAACGAGTTTGAGGCTTCATTTGGCGGACTTTCTTGGGAGGATATGAGCAATTTCGACTGGCTGCACTGGCCAGAATTCGTGGGATAGGCAGCTCAGAGAAATATCGTTCCACCTCTGTAACATTTACTATCATGACTAATAGTTACATCTTGGCAGTGTCCCGCTGTTGCTGTGAGAGAGTCAACTGTGAGAGTCGCCTCAGCTGTTCCATGAAGACGAATGTCAGAACAGTATGTGGTCTGCGTTTCGTATTAGGCATGCAGGCAATTGACGGTCGGGGAGGTGGCATACGTTAGCCTCAGCCAGGCTGGTGTCCAGCCCTTCAATAAGAAGCAGAGCCCTTCATCCCGTAACCCATTTCTAACGATTTGCAACAGGCCCTGCGATTTGTTAGTCAACTTACTACGAACAATGGCCGAACAAGAATGAACTTGCATCTCCACTAGCACTCGACTGCATCCGGCTCTTCAAAACATCTGCAGGAGCACAGAGTGTCGTGGCTACTGTTCCTGCCATCAACGAAGCAAGGACGTGGGTGGTGACGTTGTCCGACATGTTACTCGATGCCAGCAGAGACTGCTTTGCGGACGCGTAGCTGTTGGGAAATGTCAGTCCTGCGTGGCGCCACCAAGATCCTTTCCGTCGTGACCTACGATGCGATCTGTGACACATCTAGAAAGATAAAAACCACCGTTAGCACCAGACCAAGCAAATACCGGGACCACGGGTTTGGCAAAATGTACTCATGAGAACACTTCTCGTCACATTCGGTCCAATCCCACGACCGAACGCCTTCGCGCCCTCTTCTTTCCAAACCCGCCACAAACCAACTAGCGGATTCGGGTATTGGAACCTATCCCCTGCAGGCTTTGCTCCGTCGGCGCACATACGGACAAGAACAATCTCAGTAGGGTTACCAATCAACCCGGCAATTCCACCGGAAACCCCCGCGCAAGCAATATTCCATGATGCCGGAAGCCTGTCCCTCCCGGACGTATGGAGCAACCGCGAGGAAAGATAATTATGCAAGCCAAATCGGGCAGTTGAGTATGTGCCTTGTCGTAAAATAGACGCCGATAGGCCGCCCCATAATGAGGGGATACCTGGGGTATAGGTCGGGGTAAGTTGAGGTTTGATTCTAAGTTTGGGGTGGCGTACCGTCTCGGAGGCCAAATCTGTACATTGTACTCAGCATGGAGTTGCTGGACTTGAGGACCTGCATGCGGCTAGGAGATGGGAATTAGCCACCCATGCGCATTTAGCCGCTGTGGTCCGAAACTCACTATTTCGTTTGATCAAGCGGGTGTGCTTTGTGGTGTAAGATGCGGTGTAAGTCTTGGGACCCCAAGGAGAGGTGAAGCTTCGTTGACAATAGACTTACTGAAACACACGGCCGTACATGCCGCCGCGCCGCTGAATAGACAACTTGGTGTAAGTTGTTGCTTCACAGTGACGAGCGAGCAGAGCATCCAATACGTACCCAAGCCAGAAAGGCTCAGTGTGAGGCTTTGACGTCGTCATGGTTGTAACTTGTGTATAGCGTTCCGCACAAATACAACACTCTGCTGCTACTCTCACAGATCACATCCATCAATTCAACCACCTTTTATTCATCTCCATTCTCCGCCTCACCAACTGACAATCCCAGGTCGGTCCCAATAGTACCCTCCGAGCCGTTGCCGCAACCCTGTCAATGCTCCACCTGGTACGCCATATCTCGGCATCCAGAAGTAGCCTCCGGCCGAGGAACTCTTCATCGGCGCATCACCGGCTTCTCAAACGTCATCACTCTCCAGACCGAAAACAATTTGCCCAGCCAGCAGCCCGGCGCATGTTCCCTCGGAGGGGTTAAAAAAAAAATAATGGGCAGACTCTCCCCGCCCACAAACTCTCGACAGGCACGCTCCAGAAACATGGCTAAGCTATCGAACTCGTTAAAGGCCCTCATCAACGTGCCGTTTGCGCGGCCGGGCCCAACGCCCGCGCCAGCAGTCATGAGAGACGTGCTCGGCAGCATCGCCAGCGACGCAGTGCAAAAGAAGATTGGCACTCGGCCCTGGCTAGCTATCTCCGTGCGGTCATCCCTCAATACTAGACCCAGTTGCCAAGACGCCGGAGGAAGACACAGCTAACCCGCGAAAACACAGACAGCCGCCACCTTTACGCTCAACTCGCCCGACTCCCTGCCCATCCTGCATGCCATCGCCTCCTCGCAAAGGGACCAGAATCAGGTCCAGACAGCAGAGTTCATGCGCGAAGTCGGCCTAAAGTGCATCAGCTTCAACGGCATCCCCCGCACAATCAACTGCCTCAACGCATTCTACGCATCGCTCCCCAAGACCATCACGTCGCGCCTGTCCACGTCCTCGTCGCGGGCGCCGACGCCCTCCAACTTGGGGGACGTGTCTGCACGGGGCCGCCAGCTGTGGGATTCGATATACGCGCCGTTTGAGAATAAGCTCGTTGACAAGCTGGCGCTGTCGCACCCGGACCTGCCGGTGCACATCCTGAATTGCCACTACGGCCCGCTGCTGTCGGACCCCGTGGAGAGGAATGGGTTGGCGAGCACGGGGCGCGTGTTGACGAGCATGGTTGCCATTGCGTGCTTGAGGGCGCAGACGGGCGTCGGCCCGCAGGTCCTGTCGCATGTGTTTGGGCTGAGGAAGGCGTGGGAGGATGGGAGCTGGCGGGAGAAGAACGGCGAGAGCGAAGAGGTGGTGGAGTGGCTGGTTGGCGATGAGGGCCTGGAGTGGATTTTGAGCACCGTCGATCGGATTGCCGAGGTTTTGGGGTCGAATTTTGCGCCTGCGAGGGAGGCCAAGCTGTAGTGGAGGATTTTTTGTGGCCCTTTGGCTTCATTGATAGACAATAGACCCCTTGTCATGAGGGAGCGTGTTGATTGCTTTGGATGATGCGAGTGCAAGCGGTGCGGGCAAGTTGATATAGCCCCAGGCACACAATAAAAGACCGCGGACGAGGTATATCAGTTTGTATAATGCACATGGTATATTATTCAGCGGCACAAGCTAGCAACGGGAAAGTAATCAAAGCAGTCCAAGTCTATGTAATCCATTGGTATATCTTTTTGTGCTTACGCCATCGTCTTCACACTCTCGGCCACGGCAAACTTGGCATCCGTCTTGCTTCGCACTTCTTCAATGTCAACGCCCGGCGCCAGCTCCGTCAGGGTCAAGCCGCCGTTCTTGCGGTCGACCTGGAACACGCACTAGTACAGTCAGAAGCCCCGTCCTCGTCATGCCACAGGGAATCCGCGAAACTTACGAGGTCAGTAATGATGGTGCTCACGACCCTGGCACCCGTCAACGGCAGGTCGCACTGCTGCACAATCTTGGAGGTGCCGTTCTTGGCTACGTGCTCGGTGGCGACGACAATCTTGGTCTTGTCGGGGTTGGCGACGAGGTCCATTGCGCCGCCCATGCCCTTGAAGACCTTGCCGGGGATCATAAAGTTGGCGAGGTCGCCGTTTGCGCTGACTTGGAGGGCCTGTATAATGTCACGCGTGTCAGTTTTGTGAGAAAAAAACCCAACGACTCATCAAACGTTGGACAGCGGACGCACCCCAAGAATAGAAACGTCCACATGACCGCCGCGAATCATGCCAAACGACTCGGACGAGTCAAAGACGGACGCGCCGGGGACCAGCGTGACAGTCTCTTTGCCGGCATTGACGATGTCCGGGTCGACCTGATCCTTGGTCGGGTACGGCCCCATGCCAAGGATTCCGTTCTCGGATTGGATCCAGACCGTCCGACCTTCTGGGATAAAGGTGGCCGCCAGGGTAGGGATGCCTGCCGCATATCAGCTGGGAACATGATGCCAAGAGTGCCAGGGGGGCAAGAAGGGTGGGTGCAACGTACCGACGCCCAGGTTCACGTAGTAGCCCTGCTTCAGTTCCTCGGACGCTCGCTTGCCGATGCGATTCCTTCGTTCCTGAGCCGCATTCTTGGGCGAGCCGTCCTTTGCGGCAGCATCGGCCTCGGGGTCGCGCAGCTTGAGGACCTCGATTTTCTTCTCGGCAGTGGCGGGCACGACGCGGTCGACGAAGATGCCAGGCAAGTCGACGTCGTTGGGGTCGATTTCGCCGATTTCAACAATGTTGTCGGCCTCGACAATGGTGACCTTGGCTGCTTTGGCCATGAGCGGCCCAAACGCCTTTGTGGTGTATCTACAACCAGTACTAAGTAAAGAGAAGAAAATTGCAGCACGGGCAAGGTTGCCCAAGCATACCTAAAGACACAATTCCCAGCCTTGTCGACTTTCCAGGCGCGCAGAATGGCAACGTCGCCTGTGAGCGCAGTCTCGAGCAGGAATGACCGCCCGTTGAACTCTCGGGTCTCGCGGCGTTTGCCCCTCTCAAGTGCCTTGCCAGAAGCGTCCAGTCTGATTGGGATCTCGCCTTCTTGAAGCAGTGTGTCTGCAAAAAAAATAAAAAAAAAGTTAGAGCCTTTGTCTATTGTCGTTTGATGGTGTTCCACGTACGGGCTCCAGTTGGGGTATAAAAAGCCGGAATGCCTGCGCCTCCGGCTCGCAATCTTTCTGCCAGAGTTCCTTGGGGACACAGCTCGATTGCCAGCTCGCCGCTGAGGTATTTCCTCTCCAGTGCCTTGTTGTTCCCGAGATAGGACAAGATGAGGTTATCCACCTGTCCGGCCTTGGAGAGGGTGGACAAGCCGCCCTGGCCTTCTATGCCGGCATTGTTCGATACCGCGGTGAGGGAGTGCAGTGATTTGACTCCACGGCGGTTGAGGGCTTGAATTATCGTGTCTGGTTGGGGAAAAAAAGGGGGGTCAACTATAATCCATTACCATCACAACTGGCGGAGTTGAGACGTACCGGCGACGCCGCATAGTCCGAAGCCAGAACTGAGAATCGTAGAACCACTCTTGACATCTGAGACAGCTTCGTCGGCATCCTTGTAAACCTTGGAGTATTTTTGCTGGGACTGCGAGAATCGAACTGTTGTTGTGATAAAGGTGCGCCTCCCGAGGGTCGTTTTGGATCGAAGTATCCGCGCGGTGACGGTCCATGCTGGTCTGGGAGCCATGTTGGGCTTCAATGTTATCATGGTCAAGATGGGCAAAATCGTGTCGGCAGGCGCACAAGGAGTAAAATAAAGGGAAAGAATTCCATGTTTCGGTTTTATGGAACAAGGAAAACCGGACTTACGAGCAATGGGTCGCCCAGCTCCCAATGGATGAAGTCACTATCATGAGAGCTCCATCACCAATAAGGGCCGAATCCAACAGGGACGGCCGCGGATTCGTCGGTTCGCATAATCTGTCTCCTGGCCAAGCTTTTGCGGCTCCTCTCGTCTCCATCCGCCGACAAGCCACCATCTTGAACATCAATGCACGTCTCGGCGGACAAAAGTAGCCCCGTGGACCCTCCACGGACGGGCTGGGATGGGTCGGCGTCCAAATCAACTGCCGAGCCGAAGCGCATCGACAGTTTCAACGCTGCGCCGTCCGCCACCTGCATGTACGCAAGCCAATTGTCAGACGTCGGACTTGACTGGCCCTGGGCCCAACGACGAAGAACGGGGAGCAGTTTCAATAGCCGTTTTTGTATTTGCAAGCATCTCATGGCTAGATCTGCACCCCGCAACTCCGCTTCCCCAAGATCGAGTCACTAGTGGCTCAACCACGATTCCCTGGGTTGGGTTTATATTCAGCTTGGGTTCCTGGGGATTCTGACTCTGGGGCAAATCGGGGGTTACATTCCGTCGAGGCTGCGATTGCCTTTTGTAATACGACGACATCATTTCACATGAAGCCCACATCTGACCTCGACATGGACGGCAAAGCCGAGCACGACGAGTGCGGCACGCCGCCGTTGCAGAGCAATGACAATGGCATGTTAACTAAACGGGTGTTGCTAAAACTGGACTGTCGGTAGGTTAGCTTTGTGCAACAGACACCCTTTTTTTGCTTCATCAGTGCTCACGATATCACCCTTTCCAGAGTGCTGCCTATTCTTGCCCTGTTATTCCTCTGCTCGTTCCTGGACCGCACAAACGTCGGAAACGCCAGGATTCTCGGACTAGAAGAGGACCTTGGCCTGTCTGACTCCCAATACACAACTGGATTGGCCGTCTTCTACGCGACCTATGTAGCCAGGTGAGCCGGTGGCCGACGGTGGCTCCCCCGTGTCTTGGCAATGCCACCTAACAATGCAAACAATAGCGAACTGCCAAGCAACCTGCTCCTCAAAAAGGTGTCCCCCAAGATCCTCCTGCCCGGCTTGACGGCCGTGTGGGGCATCATCACCATGTGCCTTGGCTTCGTGCGTGGCTTCACCAGCTTCTGGGTTGTACGCGCTCTGCTTGGGGTGGCCGAGGGCGGCCTGCTGCCCGGCATGGTGTTGTACCTGTCCAGTCTTTACACCCGCGGAGAACTTGCCTTGAGAATTGGCATCTTTTACTCTGCTGCGTCCCTGTCTGGCGCCTTTGGAGGTTTGTGCTCCGGTTGCGGGATTCTGCGGTATTGCTATCTGGGATTCGTGCTGACAGTACATGTACGCAGGCCTCCTTGCGCGTGGATTGTCAGCAATCGGACCACGGGGTGGCCTTGAGGGCTGGCGGTGGATTCTTATTATCGAGGGCCTTCTTGTATGTGCTTTGAGGGCGACTTGTTCTGCGCCCGGTGACGAATTTCATGGCTAATGCTGGCGGCGGCAGACTGTTGTCGCGGGACTTGTCGCCTATCTCGGCCTCCCAAACAGTGTAGCTACCGCGACCTATCTTTCCGCAGAGGAGCGAGAGTGGGCTGTGAGGAGGCTGACCAAAAACTCTAGTCGGTTCAAGTACGTACCTGCTCGGCTGATGATTGACGCAGAGTATTGACGCATGTGCACAGTCTTGCCAAGGAATACGACGAGAAATTCAGCTGGGGCGAAGTCCGGCGAGGCCTGTTTAATCTCCAAGTTTGGCTAACGTCGACTGCGTATTTCGCGATTCTGTCCGGGCTGTACTCTTTTGGCCTTTTTGTAAGTCCCTGCCGTCTCCTGCATCGGCGGTCCTCATTTCCTCTCCTTCTTCTTCTTCTTCTTCTGTGTCTTCTTTCTTTCTTTTTGTTGGTGCTAACGGAAAGCAGCTGCCAACCATCGTCAACGCTCTCAACATCGCAAGCGACGCCAACCAAACGCAGCTCTGGTCTGTGATTCCGTATGCAGTTGCTATTTCAATCACAGGTAGGCAGTATAAAATCCAACACGCGAGAAACATACATGGCAGGCCAGCAACACTGACGACGCAGTTTTGGTCGCTTTTCTCTCCGATCATGTCAGGTTACGGGGGACTCTGATGCTCTTTATTCTCCCAGTTGCCATTGTGGGCTATGCGGTGATTGCCAACCTCACGGGTCCATCGGTGCGATTTGCCATGACGTGTCTGATGGCAGTTGGACTGTACTGCTCTGTACCTTGCATCCTCGTGTGGAACTCGAACAATTCAGCGGGCCACTATAAGCGAGCAACGACGTCGGCCCTCCAGTTAGCAGTTGCTAATTGCGGTGGTTTTGTAGCCAGTAAGTTCAGCTCACCCGACGATGGTGATGTAGCACTGCTCATAGCGTTCCCTTCTCTTTAGCATTCGTGTACCCTAAAAAAGATGGTCCCAACTACCACCGCGGACATACTATTATAATGGGCCTGCTGTGCTACGCCTGGGTAGCGTAAGTGCTTGGGGGCCCCAAGAGCGGTGACTTGAGGAAAGAAGAGAAGAAGAAAAAAACAGCGGCTGACCTTGTATATGCAGAATTCTTGCAAACGTGTTGTGGTGCGCAAAGATGAACCGCGATAAGCGATTGGGTAGATACGACCAGTACAAGGGGTGTGGTGACGACAGAGATCCCGAGTTCGGGATGGTCCGTTAGAGGCACACGTGTTTTTCATGCTGACATGGCACACGTGCAAGAGCTTCATGTACAGATAGCGGTGGAGATGAAGACTGGAGTGCTTTGTGCCGACTGTTCCGTTGTACGCCGATGCCACATTGTGAGGCAAATAGGAGCGGCCCAGGTGACGTGACGCCGTTTACGTAGACGATGATTATTTATATCAATCATGTCTAGGCATGTGGAGCAATTTGATAACAAGCCTGCGCAAGATGCTGGCTCGCCATCTGGTTTTTGTTGGCAGCACTAATGTGTGGCTGCTGCAGGAAGTGCCATGCAGCTCATTTCTCAACGGCAGATCTGGCTGTCGGGGATAAGGGTCCAAAATATGATTGGCCAGCTCGCATATCTCTTACTTTCCAGGGTGTGAATATCAGCCGCAAATAGCACTTGATCCCTGCGGGCGATCGTCGATGGCTCTTTGGCCTTCAATGTTGGGGGCGGCGGGAGTGAGATCATAGTGCCGGCACTTTCGGCCGAGCTTTCAAATGTTTAGCCCCTGCCCCTGTCAGGGTCCGTCGATTTCAAAGCATCAACGGACGTTCCACGGAATGTAACGACCGCGAACGGCGAAAAGGACGTTGCCAGAGCGGGTACCTGGCCATCGCAGTAGATACTGCCGCACAATGCGTGCGTGATATTGGTGTATACTCTGTGAATAGGCCAATAACTTCTAAAGCTGTATTCTACTCGCAGATTGCGTCTCGGTACTTTGGGCGCCGCCTCGGCACCCGGATGTGGCGGTAGCGATGGTGTCAGAAACACCAGAAACTCCTCCTTCGTCATGGACGGGATAGCTTGATGAGTTACCACGGCGTTGACAATCAGGCGAAGCCCCGAGCCCCCCACACCCTGGGGGGCGCTCGATGTTGACGGAAATAACCACAACCGGTTATTTCACACTAGCTACAAGCTGGCTATTCCTCCTGTGGTTGGTCTGACTCGCGATTCGGTCTTGACCCATTTCGTGGCCCCAGAGAACGTTGCATCCCGCGGTCAGACGTTGCAGATCGGCACTGAATGGAACTCGAGAGTGCGTTGCGAGACGGGTTTAAGCGGCCTTTTACAGGCTTGGGGGTGAAATGACATTGTGGAACCCATCATCGCCGGTCGTTGCGAGGTTATCAAAGTAAAACATTGGCCCTTTAGTGAAATATATAGCGTAGAGAAGCCTCGCAAAGGGTCTCTACAACTCACTTTTACCCATCACAATTCCACACAAGTACCCAGCAACTCCAGAAATTCAAAACTGTTGGTCAGCACTTGTCAGTGGCTACGAAGCCATCACTCCATATACCCAACCACCCAACACTATTTCGATTCGCGACACTTGTATCCCCATGGCTGTAACCAACGGCATCGATGCAACGTCGGACACAACCGTCCCTCGCCTGTTGACCCATGTCGTGGATCAAATCGCTGCTTCTGAACCGTCTCGCCCCTTCCAGTTCCAGCCCAAGACGAACAAACACGAAGATGGCTGGGTCCCAGTAACCTTCGAGGAATTCGCCAATGCCATCAACCACGTCGCACACATCATCGCCGAGACGGTCAAGAAGGACGGCACCGGCGAGTTCCCGACCCTTGCCTATGTTGGGCCCAACGACGTCCGCTACGGCATCCTGCTCCTGGCCGCCATCAAGGCCGGCTGCAAGGCCCTCTTTGTCTCTCCCCGAAACACCACCGAGGGCCAGCTGTCCCTGTTGGAGAGAACAAACTGCCACCACGTGTGGTACGCCGAGTCGTTCCACGTCACTGTACAGACCTGGCTCCGCGAGCGCAAAATGAAATCACGGGCCGTCCCGCCCCTGAAAGAGTGGCTACAAGCCTCACCCTCGTCGCCGTTCCCCTACACCAAGACCTTTGAAGAGGCCCGTTGGGACCCGTTGGTCGTTCTGCACACGAGCGGCTCTACCGGAATCCCAAAGCCCATTGTCATCAAGCAGGGCGGCTTTGCGGTGACGGACACGTTCCGGCATCTGCCCAAGCACGCCGGCGCCGACTTCCTATGGAAATTCTGGAAGTCTTCGGCAACCAGGGTCTTTGTGCCCATGCCGGCGTTTCACGCGGCGGGACTTCTTTTTGGCATGTTGAGCCTGGGCATTTACTATGCGGTGCCGGCTGCTCTGCCGTTGCCGGACCAGCCGCTCACGCCCGACTTGACCATCAGGAGTCTGCAGTATTCTGGGGCCGACGCGACTTTCTTGCCGCCGTCTATTGTCGAGGAGTTGAGCCTGATGCCCGACGGCGTGGAGCAGCTGAAGAGGATGAAGATTGTAGCGTTTGGTGGAGGTGAGACGATGCTTGACACGATGCACCGATACCAGAGAGACAAGTAGCTGACCGCTGCCACAAAAAATAGGAAACCTGTCCAAGACAGCTGGCGATTTTCTCGTAGAGCAGGGCGTTACTCTGAACAATGCCATCTCCTCGACCGAGTATGCCGCCTCTCCCGTTGAAGGCCCGTTTCCCGCACACCTTGGCTAACTGTGCTGCAGACTCACCCCGTATGCCATCTACTTCCAGCCCAATCCCAGACTGTGGCAGTACTTCATCTTCAACAGCGAGGCAATGGGCGCCGACTGGCGGGTCCACGACCCCGACAAGGACATCTACGAGCTCTTTATTCGCCGCAAGGACCCCAAGGAACCGCTCGACCAGCCCCTGTTCTACACGTTCCCCGAGCTCACGGAATGGTCCACGGGAGACCTGTTCCAGGCCCACCCTACGCTCAAGGACCACTGGAAGTATCACGGACGGGCGGACAACATCATCGTCTTTTCAAACGGCGAGAAGCTCAACCCCGTCACCATCGAGGACGGCCTGGTCGGACACGCCGCCGTCAAGGGCGCCCTGGTCGTCGGGCAGGACAGGTTCCAGCCCGCGCTGATACTGGAGCCCACGACGCCCCCCAAGACGGACGACGAGGCGCACGCCCTCATCGAGTCTGTGTGGCCGCTGATCGAGGAGCTGAACAAGCAGACCGTCGCCCACGGGCGCATATCCAAACAGCTCGTGGCGCTGTCTGACCCCGACATTCCCTTCCCGCGGGCTTCCAAGGGGACGGTGCAGAGAGAGCAGGCGGTCCGCAAATACAAGGACAAGATCGACGAGATTTACAAAAAGGCCGACGCCGTCGACACGGAAGATGCTGGAGCCATTGACCTGGGCAGTGTCGACGCCACGCTGCGCTCTGTGATGGAGCTCCTCACCCGACGACTGAAGATCAAGGGCCTCGAGCCAGACACCGACTTCTTCAGCGCGGGCATCGACTCCCTGCAGGTCCTCAGCATCGCAAAGTTCCTGAGGGCCGGCCTCGCGGGCGCGGGCGCGCAGGTCGACAATGCCGTCGTTGCGCCGCGGGTCATATACTCCAATCCCACGCCGGAGAAGCTCGCAAAGTACATATACTCTGCCACGAGCGCGAATGGCTCCGACCAAAACGGGCAGGACGCCGAGGAAACATCCATCCTGCGGGACCTGGTGTCGAAATACACGGCGGACCTGCCGCCCCGCCGAGGCGACAAGCCAAAGCCCCTGGAGGACGGACAGACGGTCATCTTGACGGGCTCGACGGGATCCCTGGGGGCGTACATGCTGGACACGCTCTGCAAGTCTCGGCACGTCAAGGCGGTCGTGTGCCTGAACCGCGGCGCGGACGGCGGCAGGGCCCGACAGCCCGGCGTCAGCGCAAGCAGAGGCCTCGCCACCGACTTCTCCAAGGTCGACTTCCTCCAGTCGGACCTCTCCCGGCCGGATCTCGGGCTGGAGCCCGCCAAGTACGACAGCCTCGTCGCCGCGGCGGACCGCATCATCCACAACGCCTGGCCGGTCAACTTCAACATCAGCGTGGCCTCGTTCGAGCCCTACATCCGCGGCGTCAGGAACCTCGTCGGGCTGTCGGCCGCGGCGGCCAAGCAGGTGCCCATCGTCTTCATCTCCAGCATCTCCACCGTCTTCAACTGGGCGTCCCCGGGGCCGGTGCCCGAGCGGCGCCTCGCCGGCCTCTCCCTGCCCCAGATGGGCTACGGCCTGTCCAAGCTCGCGGGCAGCCTGGTGCTCGACGCCGCGGCCGAGACGTCGGGCGTGCCCTGCGCCAGCGTCCGCGTCGGGCAGGTCGCCGGCCCCCACGGCCGGGAGGGCAGATGGAACCCGCAGGAGTTCATCCCCAGCCTGGTCGCGAGCTCCGTCTACCTGGGGGTCCTGCCGGGCGACCTCGGCCCGCAGGACGTGGTGGACTGGGTGCCCATCCAGGACGTGGCCGGCCTCATCCTCGACGTCGTCGGCGTCACGCAGAGCAGGGACGTGTCCGACATCAGCGGCTACTTCCACTGCGTCAACCCCAAGACGACGCCGTGGGCCGACTTGGCCGCCGCCATCAGGGACTTTTACGGCGGGCGCATCCGGCAGCTCGTCAGCTTGGAGGAGTGGGTGGCGGCGCTGGAGGAGAGCGCCTCCGACGCGGCCAGCATCGACAGGAACCCCGGCGTCAAGCTGCTCGACACGTATCGCGGCATGGCGGCCGCCGCGGCAAACAGTGCCGGGCGCGACGTCCACGTGTCCCTGGAGATGGGCCGGACGGTCAAGCACAGCAAGACGGCGGCCAACCTGGGTCCCATAACGACGGATCTGATGCGCAACTGGTGCGCGCAGTGGAACTATTAGGTTGCGCGGCATGGAGTCTTCTTTGTGGTGAAGGGGGGGAAAAGCACAGAGCGTTTTGGCAACAGGAAAGGCGGGCGCCCGCGTTTTGGCTTACATTGCTTCTCGACTATGGGTTAGCTACATGTGTAGACGTAATGTCGTAGAAAGCTCACAGCGTAATACAAACAAAATCATTCAAGACAGCCCCAGCTCGCGCTTGGCGTGCTCTACATCCTCGGCCGTGCCGCAGATCAAGCCGCCGCGCTCGTCACACTCGGCAACGCCCTCGGCGAGGATGTCGCGCCCGCTCAGGGGGTCGACGGCCCTGCCGCCCGCGCACTCGATGACCAGCGCGACGGGGAAGAGCTCGTAGAGCTTGCGCAGCTTTGCTCCGCTCCGCGCCGTGACGGGCGACACGTACACGCCGTGGCCCTTGGCCAGGGCGTGCACCACGTCCGGGACCAGCCCGCCGCTGTACCGCAGCGTGTACCTGCTCTGGATGAAGCGCGTCACCAGCCGCATGTAGCCGTCGTCGTCGGCGGCGGCGCGCAGGTTCGCCGGCGCAAAGTACCGCGTCCTGAACGGCGGCGAGGCCAGCCGCACCGCCGGCCGCACCATGGCGTGGCCCTGCGTGCCGCCGTCCGAGAGTCCCATCTCGAAGCACGCCGGCTCGGCGCCGGGCGTGCGTATCGCCACGACCGCCGTGGTACGCGGCCCGTACACGCCCAGAATCGCGGCGACTTGCTTCTGCGACGGGCGCTGCGAGACCGCCGACCGGCCTTCCCAGATGCCCATGATGGTCCCGACGCTCCAGTTTGGCGCGATGATGGAGCTGCCGTCCAGAGGGTCGAACGCCACCGTGTATACTTGTCCGGGCTGGCTTGGCTGCTCCTCGTCGTCGTCGTCGTCGTCGTCGCCGCCGTGTACGCGGCGCTCGACGGGGTCCTCCTCGCTGCTGGCCGTGACGACGGATGGGCACGCGGCGAGTGCGGCGCGGATGATGGCCTCGGCGGAGACATCGACGTTGAGCTGGTCGTCGCCGAAGGCGTTGGCGGTGCCCGCGAGCGAGACGTCGTGAGCGGTGCGGAGGGCCTGGCCGACCTTGGCGATGCCGTCGAGGAGGGCTGGGATGAGGGATTGTCTCAGGGTTTGGTGAGAGGCGTGTGGTGAGGCCTGGCACCAGGTCTGGAAGGCGCTGGGTCCGCTGTCGCTTGTAGACATTTTACCCGTTTTTGTGAGCGGCTTTTGTTTGAAACGGAGCTGAGCTTGCTAAATCTTGGGTGAGTGCACAATAGTGATGATGAAGGCTGTGGGTGGTGGTGAGCGAGTCTTGACGGTGGAAATACCGTAATACTATTGCGTTTCTATTCTCACACGAAGACGGGTATTATAACTAAATAATATAAAGGTTACTTTAAGTTTATTCTTTAATCTTATATAAGTAATAGTAAAACCTTAATAAAAAGCTTATATAATATTTATATAATAATAAGATAAATAAAGAGTATTTAATAATATTATATTTTAGCTATACTTAAGTAGAGTATTAATAAGAAAACTATATTTTAAAAAAGCTTAAATATTGAATAATATATTTAATAAAATAAGATC